TTATTATGAATATTGGTCGCGACAGCCCACGTGCAAAACAAGAATAAATTCGTCCAGAGAGAGCAAACAGCCTTCCTGTCTGCCACGTCTGCTGCCAAGCAGGGGCGGCTCTGTCAGGGTGTGGGAGGGGGCGGATTTGGGCAGCACCGTGCGAGCCACGTGGGGTAGCAGCAGCAGCAGGCGGTCAGCCGCAGGCCCTCTCCTCCTCCCACACGAGGGAGGTCAACTTGGCCCACCGACTTCCACGAACGGACGACTCCTCCACTCCTCCCCCCCCCCCCCATTGGGAGCGGACAGCCCGATACATAAATCAGCAGCTCGGTCAATAAGTGAAGAAAAATAACGCTTACGTGTGAGATTATGTAACGCATTTCAGCATGCGTTTGTTTTCGAAAATGATTAACTCGAGGTATGGAAACCGACAGGTGTCTGTCCGGGGGCCAAAAAAACCACCACGCGTTTGCCAATTTGCAGTTGGTTCTATTTTGCTAACAGAATCAGAATGTTGATTTATCCTGCAGGAATCCGATGAGCTATGAAGCTCTTTTTTTATATCACACATGTCCAGTGCGGGCGGGTCAGAAAGTTACAACAACAAACAATCCTACAACAACAAACAATCCTTGGATAAATTCGGCCAATGTTCAAGCGGGTGATTTTTTGCGAAAAGCAACACGACTTTATACTCTTTGGTTCTATTCGGTAAAGTCACGTAGGTAAAAAATAAAGCAACAAAAATCACGACGTTTCGGCCACAACACAAGTAGCCTTCATCAGGTGAAGGGACTGGACTGTCCAGAGGACAGCGTTGGAGTGAAGACAGTGAAGACAGGTATCGGAGAAAACTTCACCAAGGTTCTCCGCAAACCCACGGGTTTTTATCAGAGATTTGTCCACGAGGCAATTTAGATTTACAAACACAGACACAATTTCAACCGAGAGGATGGTTTCAAATTAAGCAATCATTCGAAAGATGTTCTAAATCATACCAAACATTAAGCTATTTTTCAATTGTGCAGTATATTTATTAAAGTAGTGGTATCCCAAACGTTCACAACAGCTTATTTCCCTTCACACCAACATTATGTAAACTCCCCCCCCCCCCCCCCCCCCCCCCCCGTGCCGGTCCAGTACATAATTTCATGCTACATCATTTTATGATAATTCCTTTGTCAAGGCGTTTTTGTTTCCTCCCCCACACATTAAAGGACGCGACCTGGGCTTGGCTGTTTTCACTCCAACGCTGTCCTCCGGACAGTCCGGTCCCTTCACCTGATGAAGGCCACTTGTGTTGTGGCCGAAACGTCGTGATTTTTGTTGCTTTATTTTTTTACCTACGTGACTTTACCGAATAGAACCAATGAGTATGGATCCTTGCAGTCACGAAAGCTTCAGATCTAGAACACGACTTTATGCTAACGTATAATTCATATTGGGTCATCTTTAGTTCAGTCGGAGAGTTGCGAACATGCCAATTCCACGAAATCAGGCAGCAGCTGCATCTACTTTTATAATTTGGCAAGGCGGCCCACGAAAGCGAACAGCTCTTACCCGCAGGCATGCAACACACACGTCGAGCCCATTTTGTCAGTCCACTGCTGGATGAAGGCCTCCTCCACTCCGTGTCAGTCGAGGGCAGTTGTTTTGACCATATTTCACTACGCTGGCCAGCGTTGGTTTGTGAAAGTAGGGAGCATACAAATGTACTGTACAACAATTGGACTGTGTTGCCCTGCCCTCTGCTGCCCACCACATAGCTCTGTACACACACAGTTCTGGGCTGTGCGATACGCTCATGAAAACAAAGACTTTAAATTTACTCCCAGGTGCACCAACGTAGCAATGTAGGCAATTGGCATTCGACTTTAAAAATGCTAATTGTAATCGTGTTTGAATACAGGAGTAAGTAATGAGTAGGGGTGGAAGGACCCCCCGCCCCCCCCCCCCCACCTGCCCAATCGTCTACATTTTAAATTATTAGATAAATGTATCCGTCTTGAAAACTCACGCCCATTAACTGGCCTTTACCCCCTCTAGTTCTCGCCGTTTACCCTGCAGGTTCAGTTCATTTTCTGCATGTTCTGTTCATTTCCTGCAGGTTCTGCTCATTCCCTGCAGGTTCAGTTCATTGCCTGCAGGTTTTGTTCATTTCCTGCAGGTTCTGCTCATTCCCTGCAGGTTCAGTTCATTGCCTGCAGGTTCTGTCCATTTCCTGCAGGTTCTGCTCATTCCCTGCAGGTTCTGTTCATTCCCTGAAGGTTCTGTTCATTTCCTGCAGGTTCTGTTCATTTCCTGCAGGTTCTGTTCATTTCCTGCAGGTTCTGCTCATTCCCTGCAGGTTCTGTTCATTTCCTGGCTTTCCATACACGGGGCGCATTGGTGGGATCTACGGATGAAATGGGCCAATTTACAAATGTAAATGATAATTATCATGAAATCAGATCAAGTGGCTCGCTGTGGCCACCCCCAACTCCCTCCACTCTCCCCGTCGCCCGCGGTTCCTCTCCCCCCGTGTAGCAGCGTCACTGCCTTCGCGTCGCCTCTTCCTCCAGATCCTCACCTTTCATGACGCTTCGCTCCCGTTTCTCCCCTCCTTTTCCATCCTTTTGCTCGTAGTTCCCATTCTTTCCTCAATTCCGTTTTCCGTTCCCTTTAAATGTTTAATGCATTCTATATATCCACCATTGTATGACCTTTGGCATGGGTGTGCCACGGATAACAAGTTGCGAGTCCGAAAAAATACCGTACAAAAGTGAATTGTACCGTTATTCAACACCGTTTTCAACCGCGATGATGTTCGTGTTGTTGTTCACGATTCGGTGAATGGCAGCGCCTCTCGTGGCGGCCTGGGTGAGATGCCCTCACATCCATCACGCACGCGATTCCTCGCACGTACCGGGAGCTCAAGAATCGATGTCGATGGAGCAATCCGTAAAAATATCGTGCTACTTCCTCCTGGTACGAGTTTCAGATCAGTGGTGCGAGCTGTGAAGGACGATAATGGAAAGTGCCTTGCCACGCAGACTATTCGTTATATCCCCTGGACATTCGAGAATATGCCATGCTATGGCTCACCAGGATTAAACGGCACAGCAAAATACGGACTAATACAATCCGTCTCATCTGTACGGGATAGAGCGTTGTCCCCTCGCACGCATAGGTTTTCTCTGGCTGCTCCGGTTTCCTTAATTTAAATAAATATATAATTCCAGGACCCTCGTGAAAAAAATATCCCTTTCATTCAGTGTGGATCCCTCCAGTCTAAATAAAGATTCTAAATATTATCCTTTTCTGGGCAAATAAGTAAACATTATTGTTATTGATATGAGATGTCGCCTCTGCATCTGGTGCTGAAAAGGAATATGGAATTTTACATACCGACAAGAGAAAGAAAAATCATGCCTATAATGTATTGTTATTTTTGCGACTGGGTGTGGGGTTGATTAATCCAGTTTTAGCCGAACGAGCTGTACAATTACGGCAACGGGGGAATCCGAAAAATTCCGTTGGCGTTCGGGCACGTGTTACGAGACCGATGTGCCGCTACTCGTAATTACGACGCCAAATCGGGTTCGCGATGTCCTTCAGTCAGATGCCGACAACACGTGGGGGAACGAGTGCGGTCGATGTTGTTACCTAACGTAGCCCATAAAGGGGACCGTGTTTAAATATACGCCATGGCATTTGAACCATGGAGATGCTGCGTCTCTTTTTCCTCATCCATGAAGCGCCATGACCAAAGTCACCGCCCTCTGCACCCGATCTTGTCGGATGTTGCGAGCCATGCCGAGTGGCGCCTGGTAACTGCTCGGATGGGTAATCACCTCGAGGGCTTTCTGGGTGGCCAGATGGCAGTGTTGAAATTTGCACCCCCCCCCCCCACCGCCCCTCCTCGTATGCGTGGTGGGGTTTCTCTGGTCTCCCTGTTTTTTCCTGCCACGTGAAGCCAAACACTAGTGAATGGAATTGCCCAAACATCACATTGAAGGACCCCCCCCCCCCCCTGCTGAAAGCGTCTCAAGACTAAAGTGAAGCTTCGTGGATTTGATTCCTGGCCGCGGATCTTGTCAGTGACGAGTGATATCTGAAATCACCCCCCCCCCACCCCTCCCTCATTCACCAACCTGCATTGACCAACAAGGTGAAGTATGGTCAACCAAACCCACACGAGGGCCTTTACCCAGCAGTGGTTGGACAAATAATCTGCACATTTTCCCGATATCTTTGGAGTACATTCTGTTCTTCTATAACGCTGTAGGAGTAGTTGTATTCTTGAAGAACAACAGCGCGTTATTGGAAAACTGGCGTTATAATAGATAATATATGATAAAGCACAGTCCGCTACAACACGTGAGATGTGTACGTAGGCCGACCAAAGACTGATGCGCGTGGGTAGTATCTAGGATCATCCAGCAGCATTCCGCTGCCCGGTGTGATGTTACGACCGCTTATTCCTACTCGCGCTGCAAAGTAGTTCTGTTCCTTCGATCGCGTTCCATCCAATTCGCATCCGGGTTATAGAACATGTATTCCGATAATCCATTCATCGCGTTATATCCAATTCGCGTTATGAAAACAGCACGCGTTCCAGGAGAGCCGACGGCAACATTATATTGGCATTACATCTCGAGAGTTTCTGACTGACCTCTTACACCTCCTTTCGAGTGGGAGTCCTTCACAAACATTGCGTGCGCGTGACCAGCGTTGGGCGTTGAACTTATAGCTGGCAAGGGGAGTGTCCAAACTCGGGCAGGAGGGGGAAGGTGGTCAAAAGGAAATCCACACGAGCAGCAATTGTTATAAAATAAATTACTGTTGGTTCCGCATTGGTTACTTGTTTTTTTTTAATTGCTGTAATTATGAGCAATGTGTATAACGTTGTGTTGCATTTTGGAGCCTGCAGTTAATACAAAAATAATTGTCAAAGGTCAGATTTTTTTTTTTTTACAATATAAAATACAATCGTAAATGGCTCGGAATGTTTCTTGCCGTCTTTGTTGTTGCTAAACTTCAACTAGAATTGCGTGAAAGTAAATGGGAGTAATAACGTGTGCAAGACATATTTTTACAATGTTCTAAACGCATTGATTACATATTTTTTCCCTTCCTCCAGAAAAGGTTATAACAGCATTGACAATATTAGGTTATCTTAACCCAAATAAGGTTATCTTAACCCAGATAAGATTATCACAGCATCGAGCGCTTTGCAGAACCGACTATTACGCTCAATCGGTTTGGTTTTCGTCTATACACTCGAGTATCGTTATACATCGTGCAAACAAGTGGACATGAATGAAATCGTTGAGAGTTTAGTCCGTGTCACAGCACAGTGGGCAAGAAACATACAACTCACACGTCGCGTCATCACGGTTAAACATTGCTACATTGCGCTACGGGGTTTGTTAGCTTGCTTGTCGTGCAGTGTTACCACGATGCATTGCGAAGCATGCGTACTAGGGAAGCCGCATACAAGCACAGTTCTGATACACGCAACACAACTCTTCTTACATTACACGGGGAGCGGGGGGCGGGCGAGGTGCAGAGACAAAGAATAACCATTGGTACAGGCACAATACCTCGGATATAAGCACACACACGGCTTAGTTTCTCGCTCGATATTTTCCAGAATGCTGCTACAAGCTGGCTTTTGAGTAATAATCATTGGCACAAGGCACTACCACGCAGCGTACCACGCATATCCATCCCTTACTCCTATGAATGGGTTTATGCGAATGTAGGCACACATTGGGGACGTGAGTCGCGATGCACCGCTGTGGCTGTAATTAAGGCCTGGACATCAGCACAGCTGCACTTGCTCCCAAGGCTCTTGCCGTATCCCGCTTCTGATGCATGCTGCTGTGTGCGTTGCGTTGCATTGTGTTGTGCCGCTGCTGTTGTGCCGTGTAGGGTCCAGGCGTGTAACGATTCCCGGTACCTCCGATTAGCTCGATTGGCTATGTGCGGTGCGAAAGACGTTCAACATAAATGTACTACATACGTTCAAGTCAACAATCGATTGAGTTTTTTTTAAACATTGTGATCAATGGTAACGCCTCAATTTGATGCATGGGTCATGTTATTTATTGATCGATGGACCTTATTTTTTCCAAATGAGAACTCAGTGGGGGTTGGAGCGGTGGCATAGTGGTTAGCGCACAGCATTATTAATTCCTGGCCATGGCTAACATCGATGAGTGACCATCCGCAGCAGTCCCACGTCACCCTTCGCCAACCCACACTTGACCAGCATGAAGTATGATCAACCCCCCCCCCCCCATTTCCACGAATGACACAACCTGGGAAGGCCTTCATCTAGCAGTGACAAACCCAGCAAGACTTCAAGTATTATTTGTGTGTTGTTGTTGCAAGGGCGACCCAGGCATACCATAGGAAGTATATCACTCGAACAACCCAAATTCTTACGCACGTAATACTTCCCGTACCGAGTGATTACGAGCCGACGTTGGTCGACAAATTGCTACACCCCCCAGGCAGATTGTACGGCGCTACTATGATCGGAGGCTAAAGTGATGAAGCGTGGCAAAGCAAAACATCGCTATACCAAGCCCTATTGCAAAACACACCATGCAGCCCACAGCAACCCCTCCAACCACCATAACTCAACCCAGACCGCCTTAGTTTATCAATCTGCAATATCCGGAACGCTGCAAGGTTGCCATGACAACAGGGGTTGTTGGCGTAAGGCACTATTACGAGAGTAGAAGGTGCGCCTCTCCTTCAGAGCCCTATGTTATCGTACCAAATATTCCTACAATTCTACAAACAGGCTTAGGACGAGCTGAAGCGAGATGGATGTGGCGTGACCGAATTAAAACAGCGTACCGTACCGTTCCGGGCCGACGTTAAACACTGGCTCGTTCCCCCTAACACTAAATCCCATCTCTCTCGCGTTGACCCCAGCACCATGGCACCGAATGTTCGCGTGGCCCTTCCACGAATTGCAGGCCAACGTATGGCCACGTGCGGCTCACGGGCCCCTCTTGCTCGTTCTTCATTCCCCGGCATCGCGAGATCGGCCGCGGCGTGTCCAGCCGCTCCTCACGGATCATTGAGCCTCTCCTGTTGCCGCTTCATGATAGCGGCCAGCTCCGACTCCTTCTCCTGTCGTTCGTACACAACAAAGACAAAGATACCCCGTATAGCCTTAACAGACTGCTTTGGCCAAGTGCTGTTGTTGACGAGTAGCACCCGTGAAGGCCGGCACACGAGCGGGTGGGTGGCCAGCACCACGCCCGGCCCGGCTTTGTCTCCCCCATCGGCTATTGCTTATACACACCGCAACTTTGGTACTCATTCGAGGCTGGGTCGACCTAGAGGAGGCCCGGACCAGTTCAAATAATCGTCACTAGTGTTCGATGACCGCGATCGGCACTCAAACCCGAGTTTGCTCGTTGCGCAGCGAGCTAACCGCTACGCCACCGCTCCAAAAGATCCCCTGTGACGCCTTAATAGATTGTTGGGGCAAGTGCTCTTAGCGAGCACCTACGAAGGCCGGCACGGCACACGAGGGGGTGGGTGGCCAACACCACGCCCGGCCGCCTTTGTCTCCCCAGTGGTGATGTTTACACACCACACCGGGTACTCATTTGAGGCTGAGTCGACCTAGGGGAGGCCCAGGACCGGTTCAGATAAACCTCACTGATGTTGGCCGTGAGTTGGAATCGAACCCGGGTCTCCAGGATCGCAGCGCAGCGCGCTAACCACTGCACTACCGCTCCCCACCGCTCCACACACGTACGCACACACACACAAGTACACGCGCACGCGCGCGCGCACTCGCACAAACACATTCCAAGAACGTTAGCTCATCGTCATGAACTGTCTGGGGCAAAGAGCTACGTCAATGTTGGTAATGCACCGCTAGTGGGCCTGTCTAGCCAATTGCCACGGCTGGCCCCCTTTGTCTCCCAACTGCTGATATAGACACACGCGCACCAACATACTCCAAAATGTCAGATCGACCTAGTAATCTGTTGGGGCATATAGAGTTACTTTAAGGGTTGGTACTGTACCTCGAGCGGGCTGCGTAGTCAACGACACACATGTGTCTGTATTCTGAACTCCTTTCACACCCAACCACCACTGATATAATAAACAAATCTTGCAGAAGATTCACATGGTTTTTTTTGGCTGATTCGACACAGGGTAGAGTCAGGCCAGTTTTTGACATTTGTGGCATGGAAACAAAGATTCCCCCATTGTAGCCATCGAGACTGCCGGAGCAAGTGCAATTAGCGAGGATCTACTATTTGGACCGACACGACATAACAGGGGGTGGTGGTGTAGCCAATGCTATGCCAAGCAACGTTTGTCTCCCCGGTTCTGATGTTTTACACAATGTAACAGATGCTATTTTTTTAAAACTGGGCTAGCCAAGGGAAGAACCAGAACAGGTTCTGGTATCAGTGCCAACTCGCGGTACCCATGGTCAGGAATCTAACCCAGGCGAACGTAACACAACACGGGCATCAGGGTCACTGCAGAGTGCGTGAATCACTGAGCCACCGCTCCCCACACACGTGACGCTGATGATCCATGATGATATTGACAGTGATTATGATGATTACGATGATGGCGGTGCAATGAAAATAATGACGAACACAACGACCATTACAATGACGGCATTTACCGTAGCGGTGATGATGATGATGACGGCAGTGATAATGACTGTGACAATGATGACAACGATGATGATAACAATGATGATGATTGCGATAACGTTGATGGCAGTGACGATGATTCTGACAATGATGACGACGACGATGATGATGACGTAGATGGCGATGACGTCGATGGCAGTTATAACAATGATGAAGACGATCCCAACAACAACAACGATGATGATGATGACAGTAATGGAGCGGTGGGGAGAACCCAGCCACTCACGTTCACCAGGGACTTCTGGATGGTGATCTGGCTGTAGACGCGGGAGGCGTCCTTGTCGCACACCATGCGGATCTCATCCTTGGTGAGCGCGAACAGCTGCTCACCCGACAGCACCCCGAGCGTCTCCACCGTGCTGCGCACCAGAGGGGCATGGGTGACGAGGGTGACAGGGTGAGCGGGTGAAGGGTGAGTGGGACAGGGTGAGTGGGCGAGGGTGAGCGGGTGAAGGGTGAGTGGGACAGGGTGAGCGGGCGAGGCTGACAGAGTGAGCGGGTGAAGGGTGAGTGGGTAAAAGTGAACGGGTGAGTGGGTAAAGGTGAGCGGGTGAGGGTGAGTGAGTGAGGGTGACAGGTTGAGCGGGTGAAGGTTGAGTGGGTGAAGGGTGGGTGAAAGGTGAGCGGGTAAGGGTGGACGGGTTAATGGATAAGGGTGACAGGGTGAGGGTGAGTGAGTGAGGGTGATGATGATGAGCGGGTGAAGGTTGAGTGGGTGAAGGGTGGGTGAAGGGTGAGCGGGTAAGGGTGGACGGGTTAATGGATAAGGGTGACAGGGTGAGGGTGAGTGAGTGAGGGTGATGATGATGAGCGGGTGAAGGTTGAGTGGGTGAAGGGTGGGTGAAGGGTGAGCGGGTAAGGGTGGATGGGTTAATGGATAAGGGTGACAGGGTGAGGGTGAGCGAGCGAGGGTGAAGGCTGAGTCGATATGGGTGAGTGGGTGAGCGGGTAAGGATGAGCGTGTGAGGGAGAGAGGGTGAGTGGGTGAAGGGTGAGCGGGTGACGGTGGAGGTGAGGGGTGATCACCAAGAGGTGGAGCGAGTAATTTAATAATTCTGGTACAGGAGCGACCCCTCGTGGCTGGCAGGGTCGTGTGCGTAAGAATCGACTGTGGTTTTTTTTTTAAATAATCGCCGATGACAAAAACTGACATTAAACAATTTTATTTGATAAACATGTTTTGGTTATTTTACCAGGTAAGGGTCACTGAGCTGTATAGCTCCTTTACCGATGTGACCTGGCCACAAATGATAGCTCAACAAAATGGCTTATTACGTAGAAATTGATAGCAGCCAAATACTCTAAATGCGTGTTTCTAAATGTGTGTAGGGGGGGGGGGAACCGGAGGACCTGGAGAAAAAATCCACGCCACCACGGGGAGAGAGAGACACACACAAACTCCAAATATACAGTAGCAGGAGACTGGGTCGGGATCGAACCCATGACCTCCTGCATACCAGGCGCGGGAGTTGACATCTCTTAGCCACCATGATGATGATGAGAGAGACACACACACTCCAAATATACAGCAGCAGGAGTCTGGGTCGGGATCGAACCCACGACCTCCTGCATATCAGGCGAGGAAGTTAACCTCTCCTAGCCACCGTGATGATGATGATGATAGAGACATGCAAACTCCAAATTTACAGTAAGCATCAGAGTCGGTATCGAACCCACGAGCTCCTGTATACCAGGCGAGGGAGTTAACGTCTCACCACCGTGGCGCTCCATTGACACAGCAGACAGAGTAAAACAGTGCGCACATCAGCATGAGCATTTGCAACACAGCAGCCCATGATGCGTGGTGGCCACGTGATGAGCACGTGCACCGCGGAGATGGAGCAATGCAATCGGCTCAGGCGGAGGCACTATATGGATTTTTACATGATGATAATAATGAGGGTAGGAATAACAGGAAGACGATGGGAAGCCTACATCCAGCAGTGGATCGATGACGGCTAATGATGATAATAACGAGGATAGGTTCGGGAGGCCTTCATCCAGCAGTGGAGTGATCACGGCTGGCGATGAGGGCCGGGGACAACCAAAAGACGACGACGTGGGGGAGCGAGGCCTTCATCCATCCCGCAGTAGCACGTCGATGGTGGCCGTCCCGATGATCGACGGATCGTCGAGCGTGGGGGGGGGGGGGGCGGACGGACAGACGGACGGACGGAGGGGTCAAGGTGACGAGGCGGCACCACTCACAGCTCGGAGAAGCCCTTGGCCTGGAGGAAGTTGTGCACGTCGCGCGGCCGCGACTCGTTGGTGATGCTCAGCTGCTGCTCGACGGTGGTGGGGCGCACGCGGGGCCGCACAGTGGTGGCGCTCCGCCCCAGGGTGAGACGCGACACCAGCTCGCTCTGCATGATCTCCATTTGCGAGTCTGAGGCATCGGACGTCGCCGTTAGTGGAACCCCAATCCAGCCAATCCCCCGGATGCATGAAAGCGACGTGCTCGGGTTGAAAAAAAATCAAACGACGTCGAAAAAAGTTACAAATAAAACTCAGCGCCTCTGATTGGCGTGATTGGCTGCGTACGGTGTGAAAGAAGTTCTACATGCGCACAACACTTTGGCCTTGAAAATAAAAAAAAGTGTATAATAGGCAAACGTTTTGGCAATGGTCTTTTTTCGCAGGGCCATTGCCCAGAACGTCGCCCGTTCTATACCTACACTTGAAAGACCGCACACGCTGCGATTGATGCTTGTGTTTATTTGTCAATGGTGCTCCTGCACAACTTCCAACGCAGCAGTAGCCGCATCACCGGATAATGATCTGCTCCTATGATGATTCCGAATCTGAGCCTCGTCACGGCTAGAGGGGACGATGGCCAACTATCAAGAAGAAGAATAATAGAGGAGTGGCAGTCAAGGAACGGAACGCGTCTTACAGCACGCCCACCGAGGAGACGGAGGGATGAAATCAGTTCTTGTGCAGGTGCTAGGTGGATTATCACGTCGCAGGATCGTCAGCGTTGGTGGTGGCTTGCGGAGGCCATCAACAAGCAGCGCGTTGGCCATGGCTGATGATGATGATGAAATGTTTAATTTTAATCAACAATGACCGAGCTATTGCTGCTGACGCAGGTGACGAAGATAACGCTACTGCTACAGCTCATGGTGATACCACTCATGTTGCGACGCCTGCTGACCATGCCGCTGCTGCTCATTATTATGACGACGTCATCGCCGCCGCGGAGAGGCAGAGTGGGTCGTGTGGAGGAGAGTCGCGTCACGTAGAAGTGGCAGCGATCGGCTGAACAAAATATCCCGACTTGAGAGCCGTGGCCATTACGAGCTCTCGTTCCGCTCTCGTTTTTTTTGGTATTTTTAGCGCGAGCGTTAAAGTCTGCGACCATAAAATCCAAACAACTTCTCCACCAAGAGCGTGCGGCTATCTATTTTTAACTCTCGCCGTGTCTCTGAAAGCAGATATGGAAATTTGCGTACGGTCACCGAGCCTCCACGAAACTTTGCATTTTATTGTCCGAATTTGCATTTGAACTCCAGGGCACTGGTAAATCGCAACGCGAGCCCTGGTCCTCCGGTATTTTACACGCGTCCGCATTACTGAGAAGCTCCGTATTTTTTTATTGCCCCTACTCTCAAGCCGCACAATAAAACCACGCCGGACGCGGGGGGGCCCCCGGCTCGAACCGACTTCGGAAGCGACAGGCGAGTGCTGGCACGTTTCACTGCACGCACAGCGAGCGGGCGCGCCGTCGTAAAGGTCGCGAGTTTAAATCCATCATCATTCCGGGGGTAGATATATTTTAAAAGTGCCACTTCGTGGGGGAAAAGTCAAACGGTGGTTGTTCTATGGCAGTGGTTCTCCGAGCGTGGCCCCCGGTAACACCGCTGGTCTGCGACAGTCCTCCGGGTGCTCCGAGGACTGTGATGCAAACGCAGGTTGATCCGGACAATAATGTTTCGGGCATTAATTAATATTTTAATCATGATATTTAATAAAAAATGTAACTAAGTTTAACTACCCTCATTGAACTACCCCTAACCCGAACATTTAAATGCCTCCGTCCCCCCCCCCCCCCATAATAAATATTATAGCTGCGTAAAAAAAAATCCGGTCATGTGAGTTCTTTAGTATGACTGGTATTTAGAGAGAAGAATGAATGTGTTTTGTCAGCAAGTGGTGGAGGTGGGGGGGTGGCTGTGTGGGCCTCTGAAATGTTGGCATCGGCCGAGTGGTCGCTGGGCCACACTGAAGAGCGAGAGGCCATTGCTCCAGACGGTGCTGTTATGGCCTCCACCAGCCCGCCTCTCGGTGGAGGCGGCCATACCACCAGCAGTGGCGCCAGCAAGCGATGCCAGGGCTGGGCCTCTCCCTTTCACCATTTAAGTACCACTCTGTGGGGAAGTCAACGGCGGTTGCCCTGTGGATAGGGCTCGCCGCCGCTGGAGGGACGTGCGAGTTCCACCACTGGCTCAGGGCCAGCAGGTGAGGAGGGAGAATGTAGAGAACCGTGAGGTGCGAACGGTATCAATCAATCAGCAGCACTGACCAAGATGCCTGTGGCGTATATCCTTGCTTCTTTTCATATGAGGACTACAGTCAACCTTCTGTATGTTTAATGTTGAATGTGTCTGCCGCTCAGTTTGGTCATTTGTTGCTCTGGTCAATCGCACGGTAATTTGCACCCAGCGGATTTGCGCTGCTGGGATTTTTATATTTAGCGTCGATTTAAAATTGATCAATGTTTGGAATATTTAGCATTCTTCGTGTGCTACCAGTTATTTTATTTACATTTACTTAATTGCTGTACTTTGTTTTATTTGTTTTTCTTTTGTCATTGCGGTGAACTAGATCGCTCATCCTGGTCTCTAGAGTCCTCGCCCGGCTAAACACCAAAATCAACTTGAAAGCCTGACCTCTTGAACTTCACCCTGATGCACGGCGCGTTTAGACGAATCTGCTGTGAATCTCCGACATCTATGACTTCACGTCTCTTGGTGACGAGGTACTCACGTTCCTTCGGCGCTTGGTTGGCAGAGGAGGAGGACGTGGCAGAGGTGGAGGAGGCGAGGGTGGAGGAGTTCCCGTGGCCCTCGTCTTCCCGAAGGCCCACGCCGTTGGGGGTGGAGAGCGCTGGCGAGAAGGACGGTGGTGGTGGTGCTGGCCCTCGTGGGAAGGAGTGCGGCATGAAGCCCCTCGACGGAGCAGACGCCAGGCCCTGCGCAGAGACCGACAGCGGCGTGACGAAAAATAATAATAACAAATAAATGTATTTGACCACGTAAGGCCCAGAAGCGACCTGGCCACGTGCTTCTCTTTTTGTTGCTCAATAATTATCCAAAGCACGCATTACGCTCAGTGGTTCTTTGCGGCACTTTTCAGCTTATGTTCCACGTTCTAATTTAATGTCTATGCTTTTGATCCATCTGCCATAGCAGACCGTATATGCACCCGAAACTAAAAACTAAACTTTTTTATTTTAACCAGGTAAGTAAGGCCCACTGAGCTATATAGCTCTTTTTCAAAAGCGACCTGGCCACAAATGAAAGCTCAACAAAGTGGCTTATCGTGTGGAAATTTACAGCAGCGAAATATTCTCAACGCGTGTGTCTTAATGTGGAGGGAGAAACCGGAGACATGCAAACTCTAAATATACAGGCGTCATGGTGGGGATCGAACCCATGAACCTCGTTTATACCTGGCGAGGTAGTTAACATGTCGCTATATAACGTCACGAAGCAATCCTTCCAGAGCTGCGTGCGGCTCCGGAGCTGCAGTTTGCCGACCCCTGGCTGAGGAAGCGAGAGAGTAAAGACAGAGAGAAGGGAGGAGGAGGATGGGGGGAAGGAGAGATGGACAGAAGCAAGACGGACGCAGAGAGAGGCGCGAGAGGCAGGGTAGCCACTTGCCATGGCGCTGGGTGCGTAGGTCGTGTGCAGCGGTGCCCGGGCTCCGTGCTGCACGTGGGGTAGCACGGGTTCGTACACCGTGGGCGAGCTGTAGTCGGAGGGCGGCAGCAGGGGCTGCCCGGGAGGAGCACCGCCAAACCCAAACGGCTGATGATGCTGCTGCTGCTGATGATGATGATGATGCGGCCCCACGTCCATGCCATTGGCGAACCCGGCTGGGTACATGGCCTGCGGCCGCACCACCTCGTTCCGCGAGGCCGCATACCACGGCTGCTGGCGGGCGCCGTAGAAATCGGCGAAGTTTGCCGGCTCGTCGTGAGGGAGATGAGCTCGCAGCTGCTGCTGCTGGTGCAGCTGCTGGTGAAGCTGCTGGTGCTGCTGCTGGTGCTGCTGCTGGTGCTGCTGCTGGTGCGTGAAGGCCCCGAGCGGGCTGGGTGCGCCGCCCGGCGCCTGCTCCAGCGGCAGCATGATGTTGGAGGGCACGTGGCCCAGCTCTCCGCTCTGGTTGCGCACCTTCCACCACTGGCGGGTGTCGTTCAGCACCTGGGGGGAGGGCGATCGCGGACCGTCGAGACGAGAGCGGCGCCGCCCGTCGCTCGTGATAGGAAAAGCGCACGGACCGCGGCGCTGTGGAAGCCGCCACGCTGCCCGTGGGCGGTCGAGGTAGCCGTCACCTGACTTGCCCGGTAATGGCAGAACAGCAAGTGGATTCATTTCCATATGTAGTCCATCCATACGGGGACTTAGTGTTACCACCCCCTTGCACGTGGGGGTTTTCTCCGGGTATTTCCGCATGCGTAAACACTCATTAATGGAGTTGGCCAACCGTAATGATAAAGGGCCGCAGAGCTTGGACAATTGTCGGCGCCGGCTATGGCCTCTGCATCATTCTCTCTCTCTCAAAAATTGAACAAAATCCGTGCGTCCGGTCCATGGAGGCAGACACCGCACTCCTGAGTCAACCGTTCAACAAGACCTATGCGAGGCAGCACCAACCTCCAGGATGTCGTCCTTCTCCACCGAGATCTCGTTCTTGTTGCGTGCAGTGAACGTGTACGAAGCCCTGGCCATCCTCTTGCTGTGAGCATCGTCATCTCTACGGGGACACAAAGACAAAAATCCCCCCCGCGGAGCCTTAACAGACTGTTGGGGCAGTTGCTGTTAGCAAGCACCTATGAAGGTCGGCATAGCACACGATGGGGTAGATGGCCAGCACCACGCCTGGCCGAATTTGTCTCCCCAGTGGCGATGTTTACATATCGCAACAGGTACTCATTTGAAGGCTGAGTCGACCTAGGGGAAGCCCAGGACCAGTTCAGAGAATCGTCACTGGTGTTGCCCGTGAGCGGGAATCGAACTCTGGTCGCCGAGTTCATAGTGCAGTGCGCTAACCGCCACACTACCGCTCCCCACACAAAACAAAAAAACAAAGATCCCCCATATAGCCTTAACAGACTGTAGGGGCAAGTGCTGTTAGCGAGCACCTATGAAGGCCGGAACGGTACACGAGGGGGTGGGTGGCCAGCACCACGCCCGACCGCCTTTGTCTCCCCAGTGACGATGTTTACACACCGCACCAGGTACTCATTTGAGGCTGAGTCTACCTAGGGGAGGCCCGGGACCGGTTCAGATCATCGTCACACACACACAAACACACACACAAACACACACACACAAACACACACACAAACACACACACACAAACACACAAACACACACACACAAACACCCGTGCTGGTAATCGTCGACACGTGGGACTTGCAATCCACAGGTGGGCGGTTCGATTCAGTTGGGACGAACGTTTCTCAAATCCCCCCGTGCTGCCTCTGTCCACCCAGTGGTGAACATTGGCCCACCACACTTAAGTGTGATCGCTAGATCGTGTGCGGTGGGGTAAAGTTTGAGTACCGCCAGCTCGCCAAAGATATCCAACCAGCATAGACGAGAAGGCCAAAACATCCCAGGAGAGGGGCTGTCTAGAGCTCCCCCTAGTGGAGGCTTTTCTGCCGGCAGTGGCGTGAGCAAGACATTGTAGGCCTGCTCCTGGACTGATATTCGGCATTTCCAAACAGAAGTAACATTTGGGAATATTGGTTCCCAAAATGCATGCATTAGTTTGTGACTGTGGGAATCTTTGTTATTTACAATGTGTGTAATCTCTCTGCATCATATGTCAACGTTACATTGAGGCCACTGGTCCAAACAAAACTTGCCCAGACGAGACCGGACGAGAGACAATGCAAACGGGAGGGTAAAAACGAGACAGACAATAAGATGACCGTGGCCACGTGCATCGAATCGTTTGGAGGGAGAATAATCGGCAACGGCCGTGAAAACAACTCACCTGAAGCCCGGAGGAGTCTGAACATTTTCACGTTCCTGGTGGGAGACACACAAACTCCGCGTCAATTTAACCCTCGCCCCACGATGACAGCGACCAGCTCGTGTCCCTTAAACGTGCAGACACGCACGTCTCCAATCGGTCAATCGAAGGGACTGAAGCTCATTGGTCTCACAGGTGGCGCATTAGGCGGTTGCTTATTGATATGCCTCAAGTGGCTATGGGCTTTATCACAGGAAGTCACGGGCCCTCTCCAGCCCAGGGGCTGTAGGTTTTCGACCCCTGGCACAAAGGAGAAGGGGGAATGCGGGACCATCGCGGGGCTAACGAAGGAAGTGAGGGGTTGATGGAGGAATCGAGTGAACGACAAGGCGATCAAAGGGATGACAAGCGAGATTGAGCGGATGACGGAGGGATTGAGAGGGATGATGGATGGATCGAGTGGATGATGGAGAGATCGAGGTGGCGATGGATGGATCGAGGGGATGACAGAGGGATGGGGTGGATGACGGCAGGGTGGATTAAGCGGATGATGGATGGATCGAGTTGATGACGGAGGCAGCGAGGTGATGACGGAGCGATGAAGGTACCGTGATGGGGAGTTGGGTCTCCGGAGCGATCCTGCGCGGCGAGGAGGGCATGGGGGCGGCGTCGGGAGAGTCGTGCGCGTGGGCAATAGGAGGGACATTGAAACGCTCCGGCTCCCAGTTGGGGAAGCGTGGGATGTAGGACGGCAGGGGCTTGTCTGCCGGCCACTCTGCCCTGCATGGATCAACATCATCACCATTCAAGTCGTCGTCGTCATCACCATCACCTATTAAATGAAATTATCATCAGCAGGAGCGGCAGCAGCAGCTTCTTCAGCACGCCAATCGAAGCTGGCTGTTGTAATCGCCTGCGAAACGTCGCACTCGAATTGTAACCGTCGTGGGTTTACTCTCCAACACAGCGGTGTGCTGAAGTAGTAACAGACTCGCACGTTTTGTTCACGTGACAAACCTTTACTAATTGGCTGTGTCGGTTGGGTGGCGCTACGCCTCTCTAAATACAATTAACGCAGAGCCGCTTGTGCGCGCGTTCCGAGATTCAGAGGTGAACGGGACACCACCCTGCAACTTGCAGACGTCTCGGAACGCGAAAGGGTTCGTTGGCCGCGAGTCGGGTGGAGGAGGGGTGTACGAAACAACATTGTACATTTCGTGTTTGAACATCTTAACGCCTTTGGAACCTCCTTTGCCACTAGCAAAATATGATGATTGGTCTTTTACCCTTTTATCTGGCAACAAAACTGACACATTTTTTTTTACAAGGAGTCATGTTTGCATTGACAACAATACCTGCGGTCGGAATGCAAACAAACAACATAACTCTGATAATGTATGCTGTCTCGGGTGTGGACCAACCAATTTCAAGGAGAGTGCCAATACATTATCAGAGTTATGTTTTTTGTTTGCATTCCGACCGCAGGTATTGTGGTCAATGCAAACATGACTCCTTGTAAAAAAAAGTGTCAGTTTTGTTGCCAGATTAAAGGGTAAAAAAAACAATTATCTTAACACCTGTTTGATTGCCAGAAAGGGTAAAACCTATTCTTATCTTTCATCATTTTGTCTAGAAGGTCCCGCGATGTAGCTGCTCACCCTGACACTGGTGAGACGAGGCCAGGGAACGTCACAAGGCGAACAGCACAAAGACGACGCCACTATCAGGGCATTTGTAGCTCGGGGTGAGCAGCTACAAAAACAAAACTGGACCATTGTTTTTGCCAGAATCAAAGTGGTTTGATACTGACAAAAAAATGTCCAATTATGACATTAATTGTATCGATTCTGCTCATTCCATACCATAATAACATCAAAGATACCGGGTTCATCGTAATTTGCGATTTCATTACTGTGCCAATCCATTGCCGATCGATCCACGGATCGAGTAATGATTTGGCAGCGCCCCCCCCTCCCCCTTCATTTTGATTGGCTAACATCAGCAGGTGCGGTGATTCCGTCGCAGTCCCGCTGTCATTGCCACCACAGGTGCGCTTCTCACCTGGTGACGCTCCAGGCGTTTCCCAGCGAGAGCCACAGCTTGCGCTGCTCGGGGTTGGTGCTCGTGTTGAGGATGTCGATGGCCTGGCGCGTGAGCAGAGGACTCGCCACGCAGCGAACCATATCCAGGCCGCCGCACGCGTGCAGTATCTGCGCTCGTGCCATCGGGAGAGGCGTTCGTTTCGTCAAATGCGTTCGTTCGTAAGCGCGAACTGACCGTTCACATACGCGCCAACCCCTTATCGGTGCCTACCTTGTTACAGGCCAATTCAGACCTTATTGGTCACCCCGTGCCCTTATAAATTCTCAACGTTCATCCTAGAAAGTCCCATCGCAAGGGAGAAACAGACAATACATTTGTTTTGCCCGTATGGGAATGGCTGTATGCCGTATGGGCCTGAAAACTCGAATTCCCCGCACAGGAATACGGGTAATCCGTATGGGTTGACAGGTATGCGTTCAAGAGTTTTCTTGTTCGTCACTGATGTATATATGTGTACATTCATTCACTCATTTGTCTTAGCTGGTGTTTTAGCCCTGGTGCCCTTCGCAACCGGCTGAGAGTGGCGGTTGCAAGTTGCGTCGTAAATGTATGATGTAAATAAAAAAACATAAAAATATAACTGCGACGAACAGGCACATGGCTAAGGAATAAAAATCAAGGCATAGAATTGACGCTCACACAAGCGACAGAGCGTCTTTCATTGGGTTTTCAATTTTATTATCCCGTAATGAGTAACACAGTCGCACACAGAGACACAAAGATAAATGCACACAGACACAGACACACAGGGACAAAGTCTGAGTTTTATACAGCCAGGACGGCTGTTGACCGAGCCTCATGCCAGTGCGTTCTCCTCCCCTGCAGACCACGTGTCAATTGGTATAGCGATTGCCTGGTGATTCATGCCGCAGTAAACACATTAGCGGCGGGCCAAAGAATGCATCGAACGTTTGCAATTGACCGCGAGCTGCGTGCGATAACCGATGCCGCCGATGCTTGGCGATTAAAAAAAAAACGTGAAAAATAAAAATTGACGAGGTTAATCTGTAATGCGGCGGTTATAGCCCCGTCACACGCCGGCTTTTCTTTAACAAAAACAAATGTGGTGCCTGTTCTGTAACTCACGACGGATTGCCTATGCCTAATCTCAGACAAAACTCTGCAGAACAATGTTCCGGTAATAGTTCTGGCACGTCACATCCATGTCGGGTTCATAGGAATATAAGGTACAATAATATGTATATACACAGTTTTACAAAGATACTAATATAGGTTTGTTATAGACAGGCGAATTTCTTGTGTGACAAAGGATTCATTCAAAAGGTGGGACTGGCATCTCCCCAGTTGGCTGAAAGTGGCTCTCATCTCTTAATAATAATAATTCACATCCATTAGTCGATCACTCCCGAGGGGCGGCACGGTTGTAAATATAATGAGCAAAACAATCATTCGGCTTGCCGTGTGGCACAGTGCTAACTAAAGAAAACCCTATTTTTTTTTAGAAGCTACCTAGCCACAAATGATAGCTCAACGGAGCGGCTTAACATGTGGAAATGTATAGCGGCCAAATACTTCAAACGCACGTTGATTCTAAAGGTGGAGGGAAAAAGTGGAGGATTTGGAGAAAAATCTACTCGACCATGGGGAGAACATGCAAACTACAAATATACAGATGTCAGGGTCGGGATCGAACCCACAACCTCCTGAATACGAGGCGAGGTAGTTAACACCTCGTGACCGTGGCACCGTAACCAACCAACGAGGCAACCGCCACAACTATAACTACCCGGTAACGAGCTCACAATCACACGCACGTATGCACACATACACACACCCACACAGGCTCCCTGCGTAGCCTTTAACAGACCATTGGAGCAACTTTCTGTTGACGAGCACCTACAAGGGACAGCATGGGCTCAAGGGGATGGCGTGGTCAGCCAGGACCACGCACGGCCACCTTTGATTCCCATTTGCCAATGTTTACACACCGCAGCAGGTACTCGTTTGAGGCTGAGTCGACCTAGGGGGAGGCCACAGGACCGGTTCAAATATCCGTCAATGATGTTGGCCTTGGGCGAGTGTGGAACTCAGGTCGCCAGGTTGGTAGCGCAGCGTGCTAACCGCTGCACGACCACGCACTCGTACGCGCACGCTCGCACGCAAGCGGCTTTACAGTATCCAAACATAATTTCCAAGGACTTTAGCCCGTTGCTTTTCATGACTCACCATCTGCAGTGGTGGGAAGAGGCTGGTTATCATCTCCTCTGCGCTTGGATTATCAATGATTCCCTTCAGTCGGGCCTGCACGAACACATCGTTCAGTCAGAGGTTTAGCCGACACGCTTTCAATCGGTGTAAATCACTCGCCGTGAGACATACACATCAGAAATGTGATCGTCGGTGAAGTAAACGGAACGGAAGCTCGCAGCGCGTGGGGTGAAGCGTCGGACCAACGATGCCGCGGTACACCTCGAATAACACGACCGAAGAGCCGTGCAGCACAGCAACCGCGAACACCTACGTAGGTGTGAAGCTCTAATGCTTGGGATTACAATGAGAAACAAAATTAAGGAGCACGTGGTTCAGACATAATGTGCAGGTTAGATCCATCATCGTATTGAGCGTAAAAAAAATATGGCCTTAAGCAGGACGATGAGAGCACACCCGTAAGTACAACCACCGCAGAGTGTCGCCATTGGCTCGCGTGCAGCTGCTCGGCAGAACAATGCGTCGCGAGAGCGTGAGAGATGAGAACGGCATGGGGCAGGCCTTCATCCAGCAGTGGGGAGATCATGGCTGATGATGATGATCACAATGATGCTGCTGCTGATGATGAAAATATATAAATGTGCGATTTCAAAATAACTGATTCATACATCCACAAGTCGACGTAGTTTTTAAACGGCAACCGGGTCAAGGGCAAGCAGGGGGTGCCGATTTTTTGGAAAATAAAAAACGGGGGGGGGGGGTGGGAAAGGGGCCAGGCGGTTCACTCACCAGCAGGTTGAACCCGTACTTGAACTTCTGCAAAATGTCAACAAACTCTTCGGGCGGAGGGGGCTTGGAGCGCAGCGTCAGGATTCCGTCTGTCCCACGCAAGAAGGGAAGAGTATGGAGATGACTGTTGTGGATGGGGGAGGCGGGGAGGGGGGAAAAGGTGGATAGGAGGCAGCTACGCCCAGAGCTACTTTATGTTTGTCAGGTTGGATGGTGATCCCAGGGCTGTAATAATTTTTTTTCAAATTCATGTCCTTCCCTTAACTGTTTCACCACTGCCCGTGCCCAATGCCAAACAACTAACACTGCTTTAAACATTGAGTTATTGCAGTTCTGGTTTTGAAAGGCGATTTTAGGAATTTGTAAAGCTAAATCAAAGTTAAAAACTAATAAAACTGGTATTAATTTCAGCGTGCAGCCCGTGGCAATGCACACACTCATGTAATGGCTTTGATTACCAAATAACACTAGGATTTGACGTAGGATTGCAGTATTCCATTTCACCCATTTATAAAGCAGAGGGTATACTTGGGAACTGCTAAAAAATGGAGGCCGTGGCCCTGCAACCATGGTCGCCTACCTGTCCAGGTTTTGACTTGTCTAGGTTTTGACCTGTCCAGGTCCAGGTCAAAACCAGTCAGAGGAATGATATCTGATATCTGCGTTTCGGGTGGCAGGAGTTGATAAGCACTGAGATCTGGTCCGGGTTATTGCGCTGAAGCGTATCACAGTGGAGATGCCCGGTTTTGATAACAGACCTCGTGCTGACTGAGACTTCTCTTCGGCTTTCGTCGACAGTCGGTAGCTCCCTAAAGCGCCCGCGTACATCGAATAATAGCCGGGTGCACTGCTCCGTCTCCCTGCAAGTGGCACCGTCCCTTTAAGTTGTCTCAGGGAATTAAAAGGAATGTAAAGCTGCCTGCCAGATGTAAAATAATTATGGTGAAATATAAAACGAAGTGACGGTAAAATGGCGCCGTAAATCACTTCAGGAACCGCGAAGCACTTCCTCTTTGCTGGTGTTCCAGGAAGTGCAAACTAGCTGAGCTGTGTTCTACTCACTTCCTGTCAATTATTGATTTTGTTAGTAAACAATGGATCACCAATACCGTCTTTGTTGTCGTCCTCACTGTCGTCAGTATCAGCAGCATCCTTGTCATCTTCATCATTATTACGAACAACACTATCGTCATCGTTGTTGTCGTCATCACTGTCATCATCATCATCATCGTGACCATCTCTACGCTCAACAGTTGGCACCACCGCCAATGTGTGTAGAGTCCCTGGGTGGTGGCGACAATAACGACGATGGTGATGACTATGGCTGCTGTCAGCGGTCTTTGCGTCTAACCTCCGTTCTTCTTCTTCTTGCTGCGCTTCTGCTTCTTGCGTTTGCCCAGCTCGTTGAACGCCTGCGCCGCCTTCTGCAGCTTCGCTACGAAGCCCTCGATCTCGTCGAAGAGGTGGTTCAGGATCTCCTACTCGATCGCCAGGGACATGCACCGCCGAGGGTAGAGGGGGCGGTGGGGGGACAGAGACAATGGATATCAACACCGAATCGTTTAAGTTAAAGGTGCAGCCTGGCAATTACTTTCTCACGCCAACCGCTAGCGAGAGGGCCTCCATTCGAGAAAGCTCCATAGAGAGTAGGACAGTGTCATTCATCGCAAGGCCCACGGGCCACTGGCGGCCTCTAGTGGCGTTTAGTGCGGCCCCTGACGTGCAGCCTCCGACAATACACATCATCGTGCTGTCAAACCTCCAATGGTTTCAAATGTGTGGTGGCCCATACCCTGATGATGTCTTATTGGCGAAAGTGCCCCGCCCCCTCCCCCCTCTGAAAATTAGTGAAGAACGCTGTGGTAGGAGGAGTCCTAAGCTCCTTAAAATGAGCGCTGAGGCTCCACCCAGACGTCAATGTCAAACACAATCCTGGTGGGTTTTTTTAATCGCCATTGATTTGTCGTTACCGTATCTCGCTGCACACGTTTTTGCCTAAACTCCGGCACGTCCTCCAGCTCTTGCTCAAGATCCAGACTGTCCCTGTCTCCTGCGGGGTGGGGGAGAAGCCAGCGGCCACATTACTTCTGGATACAGCCACATTTGCAAATGTGATTTCTAACTTTGATCATTACCTGCTGTGTATCGATAGTTCAATGTTAATGTACCATTTTATAGAGGGGTCTACTGACTGTGTGGTGTTATCTTGGTGTGGTCTAGGGCTGTTTTGCTGTTGTTTTTGTTGTCTTGGCCAATTATGATAAATCGAACGCATACAATGAATGAATTCAGTATTTATTCATATTTAGTGACTTGCTTACCATTTTCGCTATTTTTGCACTCGTATCGTGGTGTTTGTATTGTTTGCTGTTGTAACTTGCTGACCTGCTCATACTGGGACATCTATAAAAAAAAGAGCTTCATAGCTCATCGGATTCCTCCTGCAGGCTAAATAACGATTATGATTGTGATGGGGACCCAGGGCTGTTATACTTCTGTGGGGCCCCTCTTTTCATATTTGATTCCTTCCCTTTGACCGTTTCACCACAGCCTATGCCCAAAAAAACAATCCTTACTGTACATTGTTATTCACCTTGGTTATTGCAGTTCTATTTTTTACATGTTATACGAATTGTAAAGCTAAACCAAAGTTAAAATATCTATGGGACCTGTTTACCAGCATCCAAAATAATGTGGTTTTCACACCTGATGATGATTGCTTGTGTTGCAGTCCAAACGTCGTGAAAATTTAATTGTTTTATATTTGTATTATTTTATTGTTTCCCTTCTACATGACTTTACCGAAAGAACCAAGAATATATATTATCTGTTATAACGCGATTTTCCCCAAAATGCATTGATCTTCTTCGGGAACGCAACTACCGCCGTTATAGGAGCACAGGCTGTAGGTGAACCCGCCTTCCAGACTTTAAGCCTCCCCAAGACTGAATTTGAGCAATGAAACCACGCCGCACCTTGATCATTCGGGAACATGTTCCAGATGGCCACCTTGCTGCGCGAGTCCACCTGGGTGAGCGTGGGCGGCGGCCGGGGGGCTGGCTCACTCGTCATCATCGTCGGAGCGGGGGGGGTCTGCTTTTGGGACATTTCCGGTTCTCCGTGCGGATCCCTGGGCCTGCGAGAGGAGCGGACGTGGGGTGAAGGGGGGAATGGGGGGGACGCCAAATGGCGAGCTCACGGCAGGAACTACAATGTGATTAAAATGTGGCCGTTATATCAAGACGGTTTAAAGAGACAGTAAGATATTGTTTGATAGAAGCACTCAGTCATATGTCTTCTATATGTGTGTGAGTCTGTAGGTATATGGATAACTTTGTGAGTCTGTGGGTCCCTGTGTGGGTATATGGATCACTTTGTGAGTCTGTGGGTCCCTGTGTGGGTATATGGATCACTTTGTGAGTCTGTGGGTCCCTGTGTGGGTATATGGATTATTTTGTGAATCTGTGGGTCCCTGTGTGGGTATATGGATCACTTTGTGAGTCTGTGGGTCCCTGTGTGGGTATATGCATCACTTTGTGAGTCTATGGGTCCCTGTGCGGGAATACAAGTATCTTTGTACGAATATGAATCTCTGTTAGTCTTTCGGTATTTATGTTAGTTTATAGGTCTCGGTGCAAGTTGATACAACGTGGACTTATACGGAGTCTAAATGCAGCTGCATCTCAAGACACTGTTCAAAATCTGCGATCATATTATTATTATTTTATAGAGAGAGGCAGTCAGTCTCAATGCGGGTTCCAAACTCACTTGTTCACTGGAGAGCGCGGGGACCCAGACAACACGTGGTCCACGTGCTTCTGTATGGCCATGCCCTGGCAGGGAAACACACAGACGACATTCATTTCCTTCACAGTAATTGTCTAAGCCATTTGAGTGTATGCTAGTCTGAAGAAATCCACCTAAACTGCTCCATCCATCGATCCGTGGAAAATCCTATTCTTTCACGAGTAGTTACTCTCCATTATCTACACTCGCCCACTGTAAAGGGGAGTTATCCCAATGTGGTGGCATATAATTCCCAATCATCTGCGTCTTTCAGTGGACGAGAGTCACATGGAAAAGTTATCCTGGAATGGATGCAACTCATCCCACTGTTTTCGGTTTCCACGCATGAGAGGAGTGACCCACAAGTGGCGGGAAATTTATCAAATTATCCGCGTTCATCCACGGATAACCGTGAGTATAACAGGAGACGAATCCACCGATAGCCTATCGCATAGCGCTTTCCCCCCACCCCACACCCCCGCCGTGGAAAAGGGCAGTTTCACTCGACAACAAACACAACAACAACAATGTCAATATATGTGCCGTCTAAATGCAACCGCGGCTCAAGACGCTTTACAGAGAAACTGCATGAGGTTTTGGAGGAGAGTTGCAATGAGATGTTCTGAATAATTAATAATACAAATCTAATTTATATCGCACCAAAATGGAGCAAACATCTCTTAACGCGGACACTAACAGTTGATTAAAAAAAAAATACCGTAGATTAAGCTCTGTAAGGCAATGTGAGATACTCTTAAATATTTCTAGAGTTTCAGACTTCCTGTCTTTAACTCGCGCTCGTCCCGTAGAGACGTCCGGGTTGCTGGCTTCTCACCTGCACGCGCCCGCACTGGAACAGGTAGAGCTCGGCACACGGCTCTGAGGGATCGTGGCAGATGAGCGACAAGATGGGGTCTTCCGACGACATGCCGGCCATCGCCAGGCAGCGCTGGATCGTCCGGGTGGGGAAGTTCTCCAGCTCCTCCTGGATGTTTTTTTTTGTCATTCCCGCACACAATCATGAGGGATCACGCGGTTGCCCATCGACGGAGGATTCACAGGCGGCGACGAATGCGGTTGAAGTCTTGAGAGAGAGCGCTTTTGGCATTGTCCATCACGCCCACCTAAGGCCCGTTTGGAGGAGGGCCTAAGGCCCGTTTGTTGTTCGTTAGGGGCAAGCATAAGATGTATAAGGGCATTTCCACTAATTAGGTGACCTCACAGTAAAAATCTCAAAATTACCCTCTTAATACTTACAGTGTAATTTTGAAGGTAATTACCTATAGAGAGTACAACATATGGCTTCATCGTGGGATAAGTCAGTGGTTTGACACACACGAAGTTATAAACACCATCACCATCCCAGCGTGGATGAGTCAGTTATGTCCTGCCCTTTCACTTCCCTGACATGCCCTTACCTGCCATGCCCCTTTTCTTCCCTGCACTACTGTTCTACCCCCCCGCCCCCGCCGCCACCCCCGTGCCCTTTCCGTGCCCCACGCTCACCTTGGTGTCCTGGTCGAGAAGCTGAATGCCCTCGGCCGCCACGCGGAGGCTCACGTCCTGCGACCACAGGTGCCCGGTGGCGGCCAGGCGCCGCATGCGCTGGACGCCCTCCTCCGGGGAGCGCACGCCCTCGGGGCCGCCCATGGGGAGCGACACAAGGTGCTGCCCACGTTGCCGGGTGGAGGGGGCAACAGCGGGGGTGCGGCGGGGGGCAGGGGTGGGATGGTGGAGGAGGGAGAAGAGGGTAGCGGGGAAGAAGGAAGGGAGGTAACCAAATCATTTAATACGATGATGATGATGATAGCGCGAGGCTGTGTTTCACAGGTGGGGAGATTCTGTCGGTACGGGGTGATTTTAAATTCGGTAATTTGGGGGGGATACATTTCAAATTGGTCAAATTTAACGGAAACAACTTTGAAGCGGACAGCGTGCGGTGTTTATGGGTCATGCCCTGCGGCTCCATGGATTGCTGCATTGTAGGGCCACGAGGGACGGCAAGGGTTTTGGGGAGACCATCTAGCGATGGGTAGATCTCGGCTGGCGACAATAAAGCATCCGCATATGCACACACACGAGGAGCAGCAGTAGTATAGTGGTTAGCATGCTGCGCTGCAAACACGATGACCCGAGTTTCTTCCAGCAGTGGATAGACGACATGCGATGATGATGATGATGTTAATTTTCTTCTGTCATATGGCCGATGTAGATGCAAAGCAACAACGACGATTTCAGATGCAGGTGGTCAAGCCAGACAACAGCGTCAGGAGCAGTGGAGTGTATCGCTGTGATGCCTCTTTCGTATTTGTGGATCGGGGCATGATGTTAATGACGACAGACATCATCCACCTCCTCTGGTCACACACATGTCAACACCACGGTTTATTACAGTGCCTTGAGATGCTGTCTCAGTTTAACATTTTATGGGCCATCACGACCAGGTTGAGGTCGATCTTGTAAAAGAAACCCGTGTCGGCTCCAGGTCTTATCTGCTAAAAACGAACTCTTCTAAAACCCACTGCTGAGCACACACCCCGAAGATCCAAAGCATCGAGCGGCCAGCAACAAACGGCACCGTCAACGGCCGTAAAATGACAACATGAGTTCAAGCGCGCGTCTCCAACCGCGGAAGGATGTGCGTTTGGACGTTATGCAAATCCACATCGTATTGTGATTGCAAGTTCAACCCGGTGCAGTGGGGAACGTGTGACTTCAAAGTCGGTGGGCTTTTTCCGTCCACTGTCATTCCCCTGCACCCTGAACCTCGTGCCAAGTGACGACGGCTCACCTCCACGCGGTACTCCGCCGCCTCCGCCTGCACGCCGGACCCACGAGAGTACTGCTTGCGCTGCTCTGCACACGCACACACACGAAGACAAAGGTCCCCGTATAGCATGAGCAGGTTTGTCGGGGCAAGTGCTGTTAAGCGAGCTCCGATTAAGGCTGGTACGGCACACGACAGGGTGGTTGGCCAGCACCGTGCCCGACCGTCTTTGTCTCCCCAGGGCGGAGGGTTACACACCGTACCAGGTACTCATTTGAGGCTGAATCGACTGAGGGGAGGCCCAGGACCGGTTCATTGGTGTTGGCCGTGAGCGGGAATCGAACTCAGGTCGTCGGGTCTGTAGCGCACTGCGCTAGCCACTGCACAACCACTCTCCGATTAATAAAATGCACACGCACATGAATATGTACAAACACAGATGCATATGGATAGAAAGAGCGCTCTTGAATACATTAAATGTGACTAAATATATCTAAACAATTATGGGTGAGGAAAGAGCTCACCAAGATGATGAAAACACGACAGTTGGAAAAGCATCGTAGAGGTGACATCTTGCCTCATCCATCGTTGTTTTAAGAGCTCTGTAGCCTCTCACACACTTTTGGGGCGAGTTCTGTTAGCGAGCACCTATTAAGAGCTGTATGGATTGTTGCATCGCAAGACCGTTCATAGGGCTTGCGACAGCTTGGCGTGGCCTTCATCCAGCAGTGGATAAATCATGACCAATGATGATGATGCCCGTGTTGTTTCCGGCCGTTGAACGCGCGTTTATAGTATTTGTCTTCTGCAAATCTATACGTGATGATAAGCCACTTCGTTGAGCTATCATTTGCGGCCAGGTCGCTTCTGAGATATGCAGCTCAGTGGGTCTCACCTGGCACGGTGCAAGGTGTGGACCAGCACTACGCCCGGCTGGACACGTACACTAACCCGCATACGTTAAACACTCATGAAATGTAAACATTTAAACGCTTTGTTCGGTTTTTGTCTTGTCATGCACAAAGATCGCCACAATGCACAAACACAAACAGGCGTGCCAATTAAGGCAAATGTATTTAACCATAGTAATAATGTCCAATAGATACTGCCAATGCGTTTATTTTATGCTAATTTATTTGATGCACGGATGATGGTCGCGTTTAGTCAGTTGCCCAGCTATTTTACTAAACTATTTTTTTTATTTTACCAGGTAAGGCCCACTGAGCTGCATATCTCAGAAGCGATCTGGCCGCAAATGATAGCTCAACGAAGTGGCTTATCATCACGTATAGATTTGTAGCTGACGAAGACTCTAAACGCGCGTTGAACGGCCGGAAACAACACGGGCATCATCATCATTGGTCATGATTTATCCACTGCTGGATGAAGGCCACGCCAAGCTGTCGCAAGCCCTGTGAACGGACTTGCGATGCAACAATCCATACAGCTCTTGTATTCAAACTCATTTCACTGTTCCTTCTCAACGGGATCACGTCAAGTTGTTACCCTGTGACCCTGATGCCTCCTGTATATTTGGAGTTTGCGTGTCTCTCTCTCCCCGTGGTCACGTGGATTTTTCTCTGGGCCCTCCGGTTTTCCGTCCACATTTGAAAACATGCGTTTAGAGTATTTGTCTGCTATAAATGTCCACCTGACAATCCACTTTGTTCATCTATCATGTGTGGCCAGGTCGCTTCTGAAAAAGAGCTATATAGCTCAGTGGGCCTTACCTGGTAAAATAACAAAAAATAGTTTTATCTTATCTCCCCTTGGAGGCCGCTGCTGTTGCTCGAGCGTGTCGAGGGCTATTTCTCTTGGTGGAACTGGACTGACTCACCGAACAAGTGTAAGGTTCATCTCACTGCCGTCACGCTTGGGCAAATACGCTCGCTTGCTCGCTCGCTCGCTCGCCCAATCGCTCTTGGGCAACCGTGACACTTTGCGCAACGGCGCTGCAGCGTCACTCACGGCACGCTCACCCGCTTGTGTGTGCGTGTGGCACCTGGGTCTGTCCGATGACCTCCTGACAACGGGCGTTCGACACTTCACGTGGCCTCAAAGTGAACATAGCCTGTCACAAGCGCTGTGGTGACGTCACCGCCACGTGTATGTTTGTTGAACTTCTTTCGAACCCTACGCAGCAAACCGTGCTAATCGGAGGCGCGGGGGAAGGACTAAAAAACTAAAGACAAAAAGCAGTTATAAAGAAGTGAGTTTTCAATCTAGATTATTTAAAAGTGCATAGCTCCAGTGGCTTCTTAATATCGGAAGGAAGAGCGTTCCAGACGGCCGCAGATGCCAGATGCGCATCTAAAAGGGCGCGATGCCCTTGGTGGAAAATGGTGGATGTTGTTGTCGTCGTCATTGTCGTCGTTGTCGTCATTGTCGTCGTTGTCATCATTGTCGTCGTTGTCATCATCATTGTTGTGGTCGTCGTTGTCGTCATTGTTGTGGTCGTCGTTGTCGTCATTGTCGTCGTTGTCATCATCATTGTTGTGGTCGTCGTTGTCGTCATTGTTGTGGTCGTCGTTGTCGTCATTGTTGTGGTCGTCGTTGTCGTCATTGTTGTGGTCGTCGTTGTCGTCATTGTCATCGTTGTCATCATCATTGTTGTGGTCGTCGTTATCGTCATCATTGTTGTGGTTGTCGTTGTCGTCATTGTCGTCGTTGTCATCATCATTGTTGTGGTCGTCGTTGTCGTCATTCTTGTGGTCGTCGTTGTCGTCGGCATCGTTGTGCGTGTGTGTGCGCAAACTCTCTTAGATGTCCTCACCGTAAAGCTCCCTGGCGCTCTTGGCCGGCGGTCCGCCCTCCGTGGGTCCAAGGCCACTGGCAGAGGGTCCAACAATGGCATTGATTAGTCGCAGCAATTCACAGGCCCAGCCAGATAATTAATCGATTAGGTACGAGTGGGGTTGACCACATCATCTCCGTGTTTTCGTGGGGAGCGGCGGGGGCAATCGGCCCCGGGGAGCGGTTCAGATGTCAGTCGTAGCCGGGGCTACGGGTTCCACAGTGCGGTGCAGCGTGCGATAACCACCGCGCCAAACAGAATGTGAAGATGTGAAAAGAAGACAGGGGGGGTTGCAATAACGTATCGAGTCGTCGATTAAGCTCAGGGTTGTCGCGATATCATCTCTCACGATATTGACTATTAGCACGAAATATCAGCTGACGGAGGTTGCAGAGCACGAGAAGGAAAAGAGGCGTCAGCGATGCCAGTCTCCTGTAACTGTGCTCAGCGATTGTGTTGCTGAAATGCTTTTGTGTAGTTTCTGTTCTTTGCTGACCTTCCGGTACAAATAAAGATGATATAAAGTGCAGTTCACTCAACATAAACCTGCCATAAAAACCTGAAATCACTGTAACTTTCAATCTGTAAAGTTTATAACGTACAATGCAACATGAGAAAAGTCTCTGAAATTACCTCCAAAAATGCCAACGGAACATTACCACCATCCCCGTCAATAACATTGAAACATCCGTGTGTGTGTGTTTTTTTTGTGGCAAGACGCGAAATGTATGGGCACAATCTATTTGGAACAACGATCATTGTCCCTTAAAAAACGATTTTGTCCCCATCCACTTGTACTCTCATCACAAACCTGCCTCCTCTTAGGCAACGATTAGCACTCGGTTGCCTGCGTACGGTGGGAAAGAAGCTCGACATACTGTGAGATGCTGTGGGTTATCATTGTTGGTTTGCGAGGATACATCTCTCAACGGGTCGATGTGTGGAGACGGGTGCAGGGTGTGAGAGCGATTGTCCTTACTTGGCACGTGGTGGGCCCATGGTCGCGTGCTCGGCCGTGGGTTGGACGTACTGCGGCTGCGCGCCGTGATAGTTCATGCTCGCGGTGTTTTCCCTCGCCTGGGAAGCACA